CAATCAATGAGTGACCTCTTTTGTCCGCTCTCTTTTTTTCTATAGATGTACGCATGGGTGCCCGTCTGCTCCGAGGTTTCCTGACTCCCTGCCATCCAACATCTCCTGCTTTCTCGGTGGCCCATCGAGGAATTCAGGACCACACGCCATGCCTGCACAGCCTTCCGAGATCCTGCCTCCAGCAGGGAACGATGCGTCACAGCCGTCACTCCCCCCCCCTTCTAGAAACACCCCTTCGATGTGCTTGCACAGTCAGCTCTGGAAGGCAGGGCACCGGGAAGTCTGTAGCCGGAGGGTGGAGAACCAGACTTTTCCAAAGCAGAAGTCGGGAAGCGGCTCCCTTCTTCGAGAGAACCTCCATGCTATTTCCAGTAACATTCAGGCTGGTGCCTGGCAGAGAACGAGGAAGGTCACTCAGGAATGGAACTAAAGCCATGCGCTGGGGATCTAATCGGATCTATAGCTGATGTAACCATGCAGCAAGAGACAAAGACAGTGGCGCTCCTCTCCTTTTGAACCACCAGAAGCAGGGGACTTGGCTGCAGCTGAGAAAAGGGGTGTGTGTGTGTTGTCTTTCGCCTCTCTCCTCGTTTTGTTGATCATTCCCATTTCTCTCTGAGTCCTCAGAGCAGTGGCCTAATCCTAAGACCCAGCAAGCCAGCCCAAGGCAGCGCCTGAAACCAGATACTTTCAGAGTAAGGAGGCTTTGAGAAGCCAGGGATGCCAAGGCAAGGACAACATGAGTCACTATGAATGCAGAACATGAGGGCTAGATCGTTTGTCTGTCCGGCGCGGTGCGGTCTATTCCGAGGGGTTACCTGGCAGAGAGGTCTCCTCAAACCTCCCACCAGGGTCCTTTAGCTTGACATGAGCAGGATTCAACCTGGCGCCTTTCGCCAAACACGCTGTCTATCCAGAACCCTTAAGGGCTTCAGTAGAGGAAGCATCTGGCATGGAGTTAGCTAGCATCTCCAAGAGCAATGCCTCAAGTGAGGGCTTAATGAAGGTCTTCAGGAAGGCCTATCGGGTCCTGCCAATGGCTCTCCAGGGTCCCCAGCAGTTTTTTTTTCCCCCTAGCCCAATCAGGACATGTAGGGGATTCCCTGGGAGTCGTGTGTCTGGAAGAGATGCTTGGGCCTTCCCTAAGGAGACTCTCAGGAAGAAGGACCACTTCGTTCCTTATATAGACCAGTGGTTCCGAACCTTGGCTCTCCGGATGTTCTTGGACTACAACTCCCAGGAATCCTGGCCCAGCAGAGCTACTAGTGAAGGCTTCTGGGAGTTTTAGTCCAAGAACATCTAGGCACCCAAGGCTAGGAGCCACTGACGCAGATACTATGGCATGGCGTCTCAATAAACCACACACCCACAGAGTCCAAGAATATCTGGGGACTGAAGGTTGGAAACCACTGGCTTACACCACGAGGCTCCATTGCTGGGTTGGTTCAGATGGCCCTCTGGACGTTCATCTGAACAATACAAACCATGGTCTAGAGCAATGGATTCCCACCTTGGGTCCCCACATATTCTTGGACTACCACTCCTAGAAACCCTAGCCAGCGCAGCTAGTGGAGGGGAAGGCTTTTGGGAGTTGTAGTCCAAGGACACCTGGGGACCCAAGATTGGGAACCACTGACATGGACAACCAAACCAACAGATCCAACTGATGGCCACTCAAGAAGGTTGATGGCTGGGTTGCAACCCGGCTTTTTGGCTCTTTAGTACAATATTGGTTGGGGTCCAACATCACAAATCCAACTTGCTCCATCATCCGTATTTGATACTTGGCCTGCCTTCCGCCATGCAGAAGAGCAGCTTTGTGTACCTATGCCTGTCATAACTGCACATCCCGTTACTAGAAATGAAATATGTTTACAGGCACTAAGAATGGGCCCCTAACGTGGGTGCCACGAGAAGGTGAGAAGCTACAGCACGAAGGAGGAGGTGTTTTCCTCGAACCGAAATACGAGAGAAGGTGGGGAGGGAGAAGACCTTGTTTGCTTCATTGGAAAGGTAGGAGTCTACGTAAAAAGCAGAGAAGGTGGCCAGCCCTGTTTGTTTGCTTGTTCTGAGAAACCACAGGCTCACTTTTGATCTAAGGGAGGAAATGGGTTGGGGTTGGGCCAGGAGCAGCAGGGACAGAGGGGAGACGAATGGCTTGAGGTGACTCAACCTGGGGATGAGGCAGGATGTTAGATCATATTTATGGAATCCATGAAGAAGGATGAGGAGGTCGTGAAGTCTTCTTCCTGCCTCTTTAGATCGTCTTGGGCAATGATCTCGTTCAGGGAAGGCGATGAACGGCCCCACTCAGCATGCCCAATGTTTGCCTGGCCGATGGAAAACAAACACAGCTTCCCTGAGGGGTTGACGAGGGTTGGAACGGCTCCTCAGAAAGGTAGGTTTTCCATGAAGGCAACTGGGGCAAAACACGAAGGAGCGAATAAGCCATAGAGGAGTTGTTTATGGCGGGTGGGAGGAAAGGAACAAGAGGGCCCTCACAAAAACACACACTTCTGAATCTGGTTTCGGGAGGTCGTCAGAGGTTCAGAAGGCAACACGGATCTCAGGAGGTGATCAGAATTTGGTGGGACACGTGTTTCCTTCTCAGGTGAGTCTGGTACAAGATGGGAGCCGTGTATGGGTGTGTAAATGTTACAGGGCATAGATCACAAAAAGGAACAACACCAACAAAATAACTCAAACCTTAAGGGGAGGGGCGATGGAAAAACGAGATAGCCAAGTATCTCTCCCTTCTTATGTAACCTATGTTGTTGACATGTAGATTGATATTCTTAAGCTCTACTTCCTTCCTACATCTTCTCCAAGAGGTTGCATTTTCTTTGTCCTAGAAAAGCCAGTAAAATGTCTCCTTTTGTGCCAGTGTTGTCCCTCTGGGGTAGATAATTCCAAGGCCGTTGGATGAACAGATATATGGGTGTGTCTGAAAGCAAGGGGATGAAAGATACTCCCCCCCGGGGACATTTTGAGAGAAGTGGGGCGAGGGGAGGGTGAAGTGCACATGGACCAAAATGGTCCCATCTATAGCCTACGACTAAGCTAGCATAGAGCATTCTTTGCTGATTGTGTCTGATTGTCACCACCAAACTCTGACCCCCAAACATGATCATCCAATCAACCGGCTACATCTGTGATCAATCAGTTCTAACGCCACGTGATCCGTAAGGTACAGTTTGATGCCAGCCTAAGAGGTTTTACTGAACCCTGACCAGGAAGAGCACAGTAACACAAGGACATGCCAGTCAACGATCCCAACCGTCAGGGGAGAGGAGGAAGCGAACAACGCCTGCTTTTGCAAAAAAACAGGAGGTTTACAAAGCTTTAGGTCCTGTCGGGCCAGGATGGGACCCACGTTCCAGGGGCTGACAGAACAGGCACCGCAGCCCCAGTTGTTGTGTTCCACACCCTTTGGAAAAAGCACGGAAACAACACCATCGTCTCTGGCATGGAGAGTCGCCAGAGTGTCTGCAAGCGACTGGGTTGGACCAGTTTATTAGGAGCTAATTACTGGCAGGCACTGGTGCCTTTTCCACATCCACGCTGGGCACCCATTCAGAACAGACGGATTCCCCAGTGAGATTAATGTGCGGATGTGTGTGTGTGTGTGTCCGTCCTTTTAAAATAGGAAACATGAAAAATTATGAAACGGCAAGCACCGGTTGAAAGCCGACGGGCCTCGTGAGACCAAGTGGACTGGCATCGTCTCCTTTTCAAAGGTCTGATTGACCAAATGTCATGGGGAAAGTGGGGGTGGTGGGGTGTAAGGGTGGTGCCGCCGGGGGTGTGTGTGGACCGGGATCCAGGCTGGAGAGAAAAGGATCACCCAAAGTGGAAAGGCACCCAGGGGTGGGAGGTTGGCCCGTCACGGTGGAGGGCGGAAAGCAGCGGGAAGCAATTGCTCAGGGTAGTTAAAAGGGGGCATCGCCGCCTAAGAACTGGAGAGCGACCTCTGCAGCGGGGTCATGCGCTTCGTGCCGTGGGACAGAAGAATCCCCTTCCCGAGTTTCGATTCCTGTCCACCAGGGGGTAAGAGGAAGGCAGGCCTAATGGGGAGGTCTGGCAGATCTAGGCGCCCGCCCTCGCTGTACTCCTGAAACCTCCCCAGGGCAATCTTGGCCCGATCAAAAGTTTCTTTCCGAACCTCACCTACCTTGCAGGGTGGTTATGAGGATAAAAGAGGGAGGGACAAAGCATGTGGACACGCCTTTTGTTTGTTTGTTCCTGCTGCATCTCACACCACCTTCAGGGAGGCTAATGCCAGTCGGGGGTTGCTAAACATAGCCACTCTACTGGCTTCTGGATGGAGGTCGGGAAGCTTCTCCGTATCTACCAGGGAATGAGAGCAGGAGTTCTTGCTAATGGATTTGCCACTTTGGCGTCTGGTTGGCGGGCGCAGGAACGACACGGTGGAGTAAATGAGCCTTTGCTCTGATTAAGAAGGGCCTCCCTTCGGACTTGCCATGATAGGTGGGAGGACGATGCATCGCTGCTCTGCCTCAATGCAGGGGTGGGCAAAGGGCGCCCCCCCAGATGTTCCTGGACGGAAACTGTTGTCAGCTCTAGCTGGCTTAGCCAATCGGGATGGCTATCCCGCACTGCCATCCAATCACGTCTGGAGGGCCGCCACCCCATACCTTTCCCTATTTTCTCAGCCAAGGACGGGACTTGGTGTTTCCGGTATGGGCTCCTTGAACTCCACGGGTTTCTACTTTTTTCCTTGGAATACATGTCACTCTAAAAAGCTTTATACACACGGAATTTAATATCGTGAAATAAAAATCCATGTTCATCAGTAAGGCACTTGAAACCTATTTAAACCCAGAGCCGGACATTTCATCAGCAATAAAGGAGTTGCTTGTTTGGCGATCCTGATGGGCGAACGAGATTTTGGCCTGCGGGCACAACGGGAGTATCTTGGGCCCCGAAGACACGTTGCTCCCCAGACCCCCCCAAACACACACACTGGACCCCCTCCTTACTTGTACAATCCATCAGGCTCCAGACACTTGAAAATGACCGAATAGAGGGTGGCGTCGGGGGTGTCCCCGTGGCTCCGGCCAGCGGCCACGCATGAGGTTCCGAGGCCGGAGAGCAAATCGTCGGCAAAGCTCAAGGATTCTCCTGCAGAGACACAAAGAGAGGCATTCGTGGACTTCCTTGACCGAGGTGCTCAGCCAAACTATACATTGCAGCCCCCCTCCCCAGCCTTTAGAAGAGGGGGTGCCTTACACGCTGGCAACATCTGATTATCCCAGCGTTTCACACCTCCCATGGTTTGTACCGCGGCAGGCTTTGTTTTGTGACTGGTCCTCAAGAGGCACAGATGACCACGGGAGGCTTCCATCTGCAGGTCTGACTATTATTCAGTCACAGCGGCCTGCCCAGCAAAGCGGGGTGGTTTCTAAAGCTTTCTAAAGCAGCGAAAGGGAGATTCTCCAATGCAATCCTTTATAGGTCACTATAGGTCAGAACATGGCTTGGCAGCACATGATGACGCTAACCCATAGTAGGGCACATGCTTTTAAGACGGAGGGTCCCAAGATCCATCCATGGCATCGCCAGGGAAGGAGAACGGGCCGCTGACCGGCTACGAAACCGTCCTCTTTTCTATAGCCTCTTGAGGTTGCTTCTGCCAGTTGCCTACGCAATGGATCAATTTAAAAAGAAGAAAGAAAAAAGGAGAGGACGTGCCTTGCCAACGGAGAGGGCAACACGAAACCCATCTGCCCAAAGCAGCACAGGTTGGCATATAAGCATGACTACACCATTAGAAATGGTGGGCTAATAAAGCCGCCTAGAGTGGGCTAATATGTCCAGATAGGCGGGATAGAAATAAAATAAATAAATAAATAAATAAATAGAAATGAACTCAGCTGATCCGCATTCTGATTGTGAATCGGCAGCCCGAAGGCGCTCGATCTTCCTTCTCGCATTTTTTTTTTTAAAGGAATCCAATTTGGACTGGACAGCCTTTCCGAGAACATGTTCAGGAAATACTTTGTCCTGGCAACCCTTCCAAATATTTTCTGTAGGGAAAAAAAAAGGACACATGGCTGTCCTATCTGGAGGCGTTTGTAGCCAGGATCATTCCTGGCTTTCTGTTACTGCAAGTTTGGGAAGGCGCTCAGGCGCTTAGGGACCCAAGTTCTACCCTTGTCTTTCGGCACTGAAACGCCTGGGCCCCTCGTGTATCTGGACAGACAGAGAGGAGAACAGGGCAGGTCAGCATGGAAACAGCCCTTCTGCCAGAGTGTTGGGGAAATGGGACCTAAAACATAGAGAGTCGGCAAAGAGGGGTGTGTGTTCTCAATAGATTTGGGATCTGAATAAAAGGTTGCTAAGCAATTTAGGGGGCTCTGGGTTTTCACAGAAGGCCATTGAAACCAGTGGTGCCATCACATGAAAAATCAACTCTGACGCACACGAACTGCTGGACTCCTGGAGCGTGGCCAGGCTCACTGAAGCTCCATAAGGAATGCTGGCCGTTCCCAGTGCTGGACAGGTTTAGTGGCAATACGGGGTGGGCTGCCTGTCAGCGGAGAAGCGAGAAAACCTCCTCTCTCAGCTCTTTCGGGTCATGAGTCAGCCTTTGGCACCCTCACCCGAGCCGCAGAATGGCTTTGGCGCCCACCCGGCCTTCTGCACAGCTTGGTCGCCGACTCAGAGGCTAAGATGAGCGAGAAGGAAATGAGCATTGACCGAGCTCCGCAGCTCAATGGGGTGAAACATCAGAAACGTATAAAGGCGGGGAGCAGATGATCCAGGGGACAACAGGAGGAACAAAACTGGGGGGGGGAATGGAGAGGGAAAAAAACAACCCACACATACACAAAAAATGCCTTCTAATACAAGGCCCACGTGGCAACACATTTTCTTTCACAAGTCGAGAAAAGAGAAACAGAAAATGTATTCTTTACTGAAATATCCCATTCAAGCCGAACCAGACTGAAGGCAAAATTAGGCACTTCGATGCCTCCAGCAAATCCTTACACGGCACCCGGTTTCCAACACACTCCTGCTCACTCCGGCGACACCGCTGAAGGCCAGCCTGGGCCAAAGGTTAGGACGAGGCAGAAGAACTGAGCCGAAAGGGTCACTTCTGCAACCAGGAGGATGTAGGGTGTAGGGTGGTCATTTCCGTTGTGTACCTGTGTCTAGGAGAGCAGCATGGGCGCTCCGGAAGGGGTTGGGTTTTCTCTTCCTCGTCCCTTACCCTCGGCTGTGTTGGCTGGGACTTTGAAGAGTTAAAATTAAAACGGTCCGGAGAGTCAAGGGTTGGGGACCGGCGGTCCTAGGAAACCAACTGGGCCAGGACTGGCTCTGGGTTTGATTGCCTCCTCCCACGAAATGTTTCCGCGTTGCCCCACTTGATGGAAACGGTGGACACAGGGCTAGGTGTTTTTTCCCCCAAGCAAACTCTTGTCGATAGGCAGATTGCTACTTCCAGGGTGACTTCCTTCCTCCCCCTCTCCCTCTAAAGATGTGTTGTGATTGCTCTCCTTTGCTACAGACAAGCACTTTGGCTTTCTCCCTGCTAGCTGCAGATGACTACACACGCAGTTGCCGACAATGCCACACAACCCTGCGCCGTGCTGTGAAACAGACCTCGCAAGGGTAGGGGTCATAGCGAAGGACGCTGAGTCTCAAGGCTTAGCTAAGATCCGGAAGCTGGTCCGGCTGCAGGACAGGAAGGGAGGACCACGGCGATTTGGGCCAAGCTTCCAGCTGTTGCCAAGACAAGGCGGGATCATTATTTTTTCTCCATCTGACGTAGAGCACCAAACGGAGCTCCATTCCTTAGTCCAGTGGTCCCCAACCTTGGGCCTCCAGATGTTCTTGGACTACAACTCCCAGAAGCCTTCACCACCACCTCTGCTGGGCAGGATTTCTGGGAGTTGAAGTCCAAGAACATCTGGAGGCCCAAGGTTGGAGACCACTGCTATCCAAGACCGATCAGGTTATTTCAACACCTGAAGCCAACAGTCCACACCAACTCCAAGCCCCCCTACCTTGGGAGCAAGAATACAATCAGCTGAATCTAAACTTGGCCATATTTCAGGACCGATGGACTCCACCTGGCTTATGCCAGTCTGGATCTGACTCCTATCATCATAAATCCATGCCCAACCATGTGCTTCAATAACTGGCTTGCTTCCCGAGGCAGCTGCCAAACCTTCCGACATGGTAGGGCTGGCACCCCGCATCCCTAAGGAAAGCCGAAGCAATGAAGAGAGAGGCAAAACTGGGCACTCGGAAGAGATGGAGAGGAAAAGAGAGAGAAAGAGAGAGAGATTACGATTTTGATCCCGATGCTAAAGCAAGCATGTTTCCTAGAAAGAAAAACAGCTGCTGGATCTGAGGTTTGGGTCTCTGTCAGCAGAGACAGAGGTTGGGAGTTTGATTTGGTTTGGGTCTCTGTCAGCAGAGACAGAGATTGGGAGTTTGATTCCCCCACGGGGCCTCCTTGATGATCCGTAAGGGTCCCCTTCCAGCTCTGCAGTTCTATGATGATGGTGGTGGTGATGATATGAGACACAAAGTTTGGGAATTCTAATGCTTTTCATGAGCTCTCCAGAGATCTCTCGTGGGATGACATGGAGTTAGGGTTGCAAAGAAGCAGGGTTTCTCCCTGAACGGCTGGCATCTCTGTTGGAAGCACCCTTCGGAGGGTGTGTCGAAACACTTTCTTCCTTTTCCCTTTGCCAAATTTGAACGTAACACCACGACTCCGTGAAGTTCTATCAATGTAGACAACATCCGAAACAGAGAGAGAGAGAGAAATCTTTCATGGATTCTTTCAAATTTGAGCCCAGGTTCTCCTAAAGTTCTCTTTCAATATGTAGGGCCCAGGTGGGGCATATGGAGGCTCCCACATGCTGCTGGATGCTGGTGCCCATCATCCTTCAATGTTGGTTATGTTGGCATACATACAACCAACATACATTCCTATAGTGCAGGAATAGCTCAGTCGGTTTCAGCATCTGGCTGTGGAGCCAATGGTTGGGAGTTCGATTCCCCCATGGGGCCTTCTTTGAAAGGTGCTGGACTGGATGATCTTATAGGGTTCTTTCCAGCCTTGCAGTTCTATGCTTATTATATGGAAGGAGACACCGACTCCTCATTTCTCCAACCCAGCAAAGCCACTTTACTCTGAGGGTGACTCTTTCCTTCCCTCTCTGCTAACCTGTTTTTAATTTACCACTGTAGGCATCTCTCCCCACGGTCTTGACTCAATCTCCAGCGGGTGGGTAGGGGTGAAAGGAGACGAGAATTTGTTTTCTCTTCCTAATCTCATCCGCCACTGCCCCAGTTCTTTCACCCAGGTTTGCTCTGTTTGGCGACTTAGAACCAAGGGGGGGCGGGGGCGGGAAAATCAGCTGGACGACACGACCACCACCAAGAAAACCCTTCCCCGGCTTAACATAAGGAAAATAAGGAGGAATGTCGGCACGGATAAATAAATCTATCGGTAGGTCTGGTGGAGGCCCGGTTGGGTTTCAACCCCAGCAGAGCAATAATGGAGAACAGGCACAGGTCTGTATTGGGGGATCCCGATTCCCTCTCCTTTTTTTTTTAAAGGAAAGGAGAAAGGGCAGAGAACTGCCGAGAAGCCCCAAAGGGACATAAGAGGGAGGGAAGGGACATTACACACAGACACGGACACAGACAAGGTGACACCAGAGGGTGGTGGTGGAAGGAAAGGGGAGCTAGGCTTTTTTCCCCTTTGCTGTTCATGTTTTAAAATAACAATTAACTACATTATATATATATATATATCCATTTTGTTCCTGCCTGGTTTCTTTTCTTTTTTTCTTTCAAATTCAGGAAACACCTGGTCTTTGGAGGTCTGTAAAAAAACATGTCACACACAGAGTGTGTTTTCATTGCACCTTTCCCTTCTCCCAGTTTCCCAACTCAAGGTGTTAAGACTGGAGGAGGGCGGCCGGCGAAGGGCGAGGACCTGAAGCGTGGAGAAGGGGTTTTCCTCAGATTTGCTGGCCGCAAACTGCGGGGAAACGGCCATTCCCAGGCTCGGTTCACGGGAAGGGAGCCCTGCTGTTATGGCCGCAGAGCGACGTCGGTCCTGACTTGGTAGGAACTGTGACCTGAATATGACTCCG